CACCTAGCTCCACGCAAGGTGTATTGTGTGAAGTACATGAATTGGTATCACCAGGAGCTTGTTAGAAATGCAGATTCAGAGGGCGCCTGGGTGGCTCAGTCAGTTAAGCATCCAACTCTCAGTTTCAGCTCAGGTCATGATCTCCTGGTTCTTGAGATCAAGCCCCGCATTGGGCTCTATGCTGACAGAGCAGAGCCTGCTTAAGATCCTCTCTCTCTGCCCCTCCCCTGCTAGCTCACTCTCTCTGTTTCTCAGAATAAACATTAAAAAATGCACATTCTCAGGCCAACATGCCAAAACTACTAAATCAGAATCTGTGTTTTAATAAGATACCCAGGTGATCTGCATGTACATTAAAACTTAAGAGAAAACAATATGGCCCACTTTGCCTATTTTATAGGTAAGTAAATAGAGGCCCTAAGGAGGTTACACTATTAAAAAAATTCCTAAGGAACTGAATGGCATAAAGTATATCCCCAAAGCCCTTTAATATCCATGTATAATCAACTCATAATTTCTGCTATAACACAAATTGCTTAGGTTTGGTGCTTTGATATACCAGATACAAATTGTTCTTATCTGTTCATTAAAGCTGACTTTCTGAAAGACGATATTAGGTTTATCAAGCTCTAGTATGTGAACACTAAAGTTAAAAAAAAAGAATTTACTTCAAACATTAAAAAAAAAAAGGACTGTACTTCAAAAACCAAGTTACAAATAGAAATTTACTTGCTCATATCATACTTTTTTTTAAATATTATTTTTTTTTAAGTTTATTTATTTTGAGAGAGAGAGAGCATGAGCTGCAGAGGGGCAGAGAGAGGGACAGACAGAATCACAAGCAGACTTGGTACAGAGCCCCACGTAGGGTTTGAACTCATGAACAATGAGATCATGACCTGAGCTGAAATCAAGAGTTGGATGCTTAACTGATGGAGCCACCCAGGCACTCCACTCATATCATATTTCTAAAATTTACTGCAGGAAGCAATGGGATCATAAAATACTACAAAAGATGGCTTCAATGGAGTAATAAACCAGGATGCCTGCCACTGAACACTATAGTTCATTAATCCACTAATGTATTTGTATGTTTTGCAGCACAGAAAATTGAACAGAGACCTTAAACATCTGAGGTGGGCATAATATGAAAAGATCTCTGCAGAATCTTATGATAACAAATGCCTAATTGTCAATATCTTTGCCTTGGTTACGATATCTAATTCAATGCTTCTCTTGAGAATTTAAGAAATCATATTTACTCACTCTAAAAAGAAAAGAATAATCAGCCAAAAGTGACAAAAAAAATCAGTGTGCAATAAAACCAATTCAACCAAAAATGTATTTTTTTTAATTTTTTTATTTGTTATTTATTTTTTTAAAGTTTCTTTATTTTGAGAGACAGAGAGAGCAGAGGAGGGGCAGAGAGAGAGGGAGCCTCAGGGAGCTCGGCACAGAGCCTAATGTGGGGCTTGAACTCATGAACCGTGAGATCATGACCTGAGCCAAAACCAAGAGTCAGACGCTTAACTGACTGAGCCACTCAGGCGCCCCCAAAAATGTGATTTTAAATAGAAAATCTACTGAAACACAAACTTCTCACAAGGCTAAAATTTTATTTTCCTACTTTGTTAAATAAAGAGGTAATCCACAGGAAAAGAAATAAAAGTAATATATAAACATTGAGGTTTATGGCATAGTTTTCTATGGGCTGACATCAAAGCAAAGTGTATGTACACACACATACTCTGTACAATTATTCGAAAGGCCTGCTACTTCTTAAAGGCATGCTACTTTTAAATCTACCTGGAATTAACTTGCTCAGCCTTCACTTTTCATTTACTTCCCTGCTTGAATCAAGTCCAGAGTACAAAAAGGACTGATACAAATAATTTAATATTACTGGCATCTTTTAAACTCTTCAAAACCACTGTTTTTGTTGTTGTTGTTGTTTTTCATATGGCAGACATTTGTGCACACAAGAATTACTGGTAAGAATAAATGGCTGATATCCCCCCAACCCCCACCTCTTTCCCGGTACTTTCCTTTAGGACTTCTGCTCTGCAAGGTATGCAGTCAAATGTAGAGTTGCTTAGGACGATCTGCTGAGCATCTATTATGTACAAAATGTTTTCCTCAATCTCTGCTTCTAAGAAACTGATAGCACCATTAGCTAGATTACCAAGGAATGAATGGCACAAAGGGGTTTTGAGTATATAGGAAAGCAAGATTACTGGGCTGGAGTAATGGAGGCAAGATTCACAGAGCAGGTAGAAACATGGTTGAAGACTAAAAGATAAGAAGAATTTACAGCTTTCTAATCCATACTGTAGTTAAATATAAAAAGATTTCAACAGGTTATACAGTTCTCTTAAATTAATAATTAGGGATGCCTGGTTGGCCCAGTCAGTAGAA